TTTTCTCTACTCCAAGAAACCATTATTAGGTGCTAAAATGTGGGCTTTCGAAACAATCATTTACCTAACTAATTTATTTCTTTACTAAGGATATCCAGAAATGTTAGCTTACTGTCGGTATATTCAATAATTTAATGTATCCTAATTCATCATTTAATCTGCTAATCTTCATCGCCCTAAATTATCATATATTTTTTTGCTTTCTTATTTTAGTAGATGACGGTACTGGTATCCTGCCTTGCACATTGTGGCGTCGTGATCCCATCCCTCCGCCTCCCTATCCCTTCGCCTTCGGTCATGGACAAGAGACATGCACTCATAGTCGTTTAACTTGCCGCACTCTTATCGGTCTGGCTTTTGACTCTTACGCCTTGGCACCTTCGATCGCCACCGATCCTTCTCATTCCTCACTCTCTGAATGGGGTTTGTACACTAAACGAACTTGTCTCCTCCGCATTGGACAGCATGTGATACTGCGCGGACGACTAAAACGATATCGTTGTCAATTAAGAATGAACGCAGATTATTGTCGTTAGTTTCTATATATCAAATATACTCAGCTCGCCGAAACCCTTATTTTAAATATGCATATACATATATTACTAGTTTAACGTATTAGTAGTCATATACAAACAGTGAATTAGATATATGAGATGCATTCATTCTATTTCTTTTAAGGTGATGGAGGACTGTTAGCTGAATTTTTCCACAATCATATGGGTAGAGCTTTGCTTTCCCTAAAGGTGTTCTCATCCAGGTTGGGCCGAAGTTTCGATTTTGCCTAGGTCTTATCTACACTCTCAGCTGGAGTCGAACAATGACTGTACAGTGTAATCTCGACACGTTAACCACTACGCCACATCGCCACGAGTGACCTTGGGTCATAAGGCAGATGTGAATTTCAAGGAAGACCAGACATTTTCCCATATCATATAACGGATTTATTGGTAGTCTCGAATACTATTTATGAACGAAAAATAAGTAATTTTATAATTTGTCATAGAAAATATAATATTACTTCCTCGACAATCCCACTAAAGCATATGCTATGGAAAAACGCCTGGCCTTCCTTGAAATACACATCTGCCCTGTGACCGAAGTGACCTCGTG